GGATATATGTAGTGCTTCAATTTATTATATTGTATCAATCTCGAGTCACGGGTATTATTAATAATATTATAGCACACATAAGATGACACACATAAGTAACGTTTTTTATTTTTACCAATAATGTGACATTTTTTGACAATATTGACATTTCTTCAGCAATACCTTTTTCTTTATGATTCACTAATGATGATATTATTTTCCTAGATCACATTCATATGTAAAGCTTCATATTTTCACCAATAAGATGATCGGACATTTGAGGATTTTGACATTATTGTCAACATTGTGACATTTTTTTCTTTAAAAATTGAATGACTCACCACTACATTATCATTTTGAAGGATTACAATGCAAACAATATTTGAAAGATATATTTTTAAATTATTTTTGTCATATTATGATGATTATTGATGAAATTTTTATGTGGGGTTAGAACTTAAATTTACGCAAAAAAATTAAAAGTTTCGTGTGTGAGTACCCAGAAAATGTTAGGTCCTGAATTGATGAGGAAAATATGAGAAGAAATGCAACAAATTCTAAAGTGCCATAAATTTGGTGATATTTTTAAAAATAAAATGTGACATTTTATCAAACATTCTCACCGAAAATATATAACAACATTAAGCACTAGTAGAAAACAGGCTTATAGTGACACTTTGTTAGTGACACTTTTTAATAAAGTGTCACGAAATTACGACATATCTTTTTTACGATGTATATGTGTCATTAGTTTGTGACACAATAGTATCAATATCAGATAGTGACGTTCACACCCTATTTTATTTTCTTTTAACATTATTTTGTCATATTTTTTAACACCTACGGAGTAATATTTTCACTCTTTCTCTCTTCATTCACATAACCTGAGAAAGCTCCGCCTTCTTTCTAGACTTGCGCATCATCTTCTTCATAAGGCCTGATGCCTGTGCGGTAGTCTTGCCGCCGGCGGAAGGCATCGGACCGGTTAAATCGCAGAGCAAACTCTCGTATGCGGCGGCGGTAAGGGACCCCATCCCCGACCAACGGGCACACCACACCCAACAATACTCCTTTTCAGGCGCATCTCACCTGGGTACGTCTGGAAATTTCTGCGGCTTCCCGTCGTTCTCTTTCTATGGCAATGATATACAGGTTCTATCCAATCCTTTCAGATACTGAGGGGTGAAAATCAGAGTACCCTCACTATTTCTAATTTCATCTTACCGCCGAATCCTTTAGAAGCGACAAAGGCCAAAGCGAAAAAAAAATAACTTCGTAGGCTGAAAATAAGAAACCCTTGAGCAGTGAAGTGAAAAACCGTGAGATCTGCGTTAGAGATATCCAAGTCCGGCGTCTAACAAAACGATTCTTGCTTCTGGTCCAATCCATTCGAGAGATCTACGCCGATTTTGTTTGGATCTCCGCTGTATCCCACCGGCCGCACCTCTGCTATGAAGCTCTTGTACGGTTCGCACAATTTAACTCTATCCACACTACGGTGAACCCTAACCCCCAGGTTTCGCTCAGTTCTAATCGTTTAATCGCCCCATTTGGTAGCCTGACGTTTTTTTATAATCTATTCTTACATCTATGTTCTGTGAATAAATCTATATAGAAGGTTTTGTATGCATCTTCCTCGCGTTTTCAATATCCCTCTCGATGAACTTCATTATCGAGATTAATTTTTACATATCTCTGATCCTTGGTTGAGATGCTTATGAGGTGTGAATTAGGGCAGTTTTTACATATAGTTGGACAATCTGCTCTGTTGATGGACTGAAGACTATTGACAAGTTTCATGTATGCAAATGACTCATTTACCATACTTTTTCTGCCGGTATGTGTAAATGGTTTTTTATTTATTTTTACTGGTTTACCATAGTTTTGAAACTACTAAGTTAACTAAATCTAGGATTTTGTAGATTTAGCTTTCATTACTTGACTTAATTTTTTGTAGATCTGATTCTTTTAGGGCGGTTATGGCTAGAAGGGGTAAAAAACAAATGAGGAGCTGCCTAAATTGTGAGTATCCATTTGATAATTCTAATTTTATCATGCTTTTAGTAAGTAATAATGGTATACAATACTTTATATGTTGATCTTATTTACAGCTTTAGGAAAGAACAACATTGAGATGTATCATTATTATTTGTTCCAACAGTTCAAAACAACACAAAGAAAAGTAAGGTCATTCGTATTGCATGTTCATGTTTTATATTAGTGTGTATAAGTATATTTCACTACTTTATAACATTTCATATTGCAGGTGATTTGAATAGTGTTCTTTCTCATACTCGTCATTGTTTGGAAGCTGCAACATTTGGTAAACCTTCTTAATGGATACTCTTATTTATGCACTTTCAAGAAAAGAAACTAAAATATTATAATTTCAATATGATAACTCTTTCTTGGATATCTTGAGCTTATGCAAAAAGTTTTTTGATACCTATCCTGATGATATCAAAGTGCTACGTTACAATTTAGAATGTTAAACATGAAGGTGTTCCATCAATTCCATGTATAGATGTTTAGTTGGAAAAGAATAAATTAATAAAAAGCCCAAATTCTTGGCTTTAAGATGCCAGAAGACATGTGAGAGGGAGTTAAGGTATGTTTTTAATTTTTTTAGGGGCCTAGTTTACAAAAAAGTTAAATTTCTCGGTTTTCAACCCAACAAAACAAATTAATCGAGTTATGAAAACTCAATTCGAAATGAAATGTCACTTCAGTTTTGGTTTTGGATTTTCAAAATCTTGAAAATTATGAGTCTTCTTTACTTTTAGACTATAATCAGATTCCTGAAAATTGTCCATTGGCGTGTAGACTTGACTTCATTTGATTAATATCTTACATTTGAAGTCAGAAGGTTGTAATGGAGCAAAATTGTTTGGTTTCTAGCAATATATGTGGAATAGGATTATTGATTTTGTAGTATTGGCTAGCCTTTTCTTTTAGAGTTAGCGATTATTTATTTTGTTCATGTTCTATGAGGGTAGATCCAATAACATATGACTGGTTTACGTTCTTCACCGTTTTATTTCACTTCTTGTCAGAGAGCTAAAATGTGGAAAGACTTTAGTTGCTGGAAAATTGGTAAGAAACATGATAATGATTCGTTTTATTTTGTATATCGATTCATGTTTATATGCTTACTATTGTCTTGTAATTTTTATGTATTGAACAAAATATTAGAAATCCCATCTGCCTAAACTCATAAAGGTTAGAAATCTATTGAACAATGAGTAGTAATAGAGTAAAATAGTTTTAATTCTCAAGCATATTTACACATAAAGTCACCCTTCTTCACCCGTGCAAAAGGAGCAATGTTTTATACTTCATATGTGATATTATCCATTTCTTCTTTCATCATATGTTTTGTCTTAGGCCGGGCAGTTGAGTAACTAATAACCATTCTATGTCATAGTGTGTTATGGTATACATTTTGATATTATAAATTATATGTTAATAATTATGGTTGGTTGCTTTTATATTTAAATTATAATCACGTAAAAAGTTTGGAAATTTTCTTTTCAAGTCTAAAAATTGGCCTATCACTTATGCATGTGCACTTAGAGAACTGGCGATGAATCTTTTATTAATTGATGTAGGACAAGCTGCAACAGATTTTGAAGTAAAGCTTGACAGAAAAAGAGCTGGACAAAAATGGACATAACTCTCGTCCCAGTGCTCCTTTTGAGGCCCACAAAAATATCAAAACAAAGGTTTTGACGTGCTCTATACACTTGTAATGCATTTCTCTCATGTATAAGGTTTCTAAACATTATGTTTCAGCACTTTTTTGATTAAAAAACATCATCAGGATTTGAAAAAAGGACATGAAAAGCTGAAAGAGTTTGATCCAGAAAGTGCTTCAGGTATGGACTTGAAAAAACATATGCATGAATTGAATATAGTTGAAAATAAAATATGTGAGGCCATTTCTACATGTAGCATATTAAAGTGAATGTGATTTATTTTACTTGCTCCTTAGTGTAGCATATGGAATTGAATTGTTATCGAGGTGTAATTTGCCTTTTACTTTATACACAACTTGATTCTTTTGACGACAATGTATTTTGAGGTTAGATTTTGTTTCATTGATTTCAGGTTACAAGTTATGACAAGTCTTGTACGTATACACTCTTGTTTACAAGGCAGATTTAGTCGCTCCAAAATATGATCTTTTTTTAATACTTCTCCAATCATGCATTTTGTTATTGTTATCACACGTGACAAGTTGATGTGAATGGAGAAAAGGGAGCACTTGTTGTTGATTACTTCCATAAAAATGCCATTGTCGGGGCTTGGCACTTAAAGATTGTTTTATGTCCTATAGACCATGCTTTATCTCAATTCTAGCTTTAATTGTAACGTGTGTTTTGTTTTTTGAGTTGTACTTAATTACATTTATGATTTCCGGGTATGCCCCTATGAATCATGTACATTCATATGAAATCTTGAGATATAAATAAAATGTTTGAGATTTTGGTTAATGTTAATGTTTTGGTTTATTTGTATTAATATATATACTAATATAAAAAATATATAAAAATATACATACTAATGAATCATGTACATCAACACTTTTTTAGTGTCACAGAAATTTTTGGTGACACTAATTTGGTGTCACTGTAAAGTCTTTTTCTACTAGTGAAATGTATATATCGCTAAAAAGAATGATGCATTGGTATCACAAAAATCCTTGTTACATATATATCACAACTCTCTATGATGTTTATATGTCATAATTTTGTGACAATAAATTTAGTGACTTGTTAACGGTGACACTAAATTTAGCGTCACTAGCCCCGCTTTTCTGTGACACTTTCAGAGTGTCACTAAATCATTTAGTGACACTAATTTAATGTCACTATAAGCCATTTTTTACTAGTGACGAAGTACTCCTATTTCCTAGGATGACATTCCTATTTTGAATTTCTCATTTTTACCTATACGTTATATATTTTAAAACTATTGAGTTTATTAACATTTTGGCAACACATAATATGTTTTCTCTCTAGGGTTACCATCCAGTAACGCTGTTACTTAGTTTAGGTATGTCTGCCATCGGCTTTGCCAAGGGGTGGTGCTGGAGTTTTCGGGCTCTAGGGTGGAATTTCACTTCTCTCTTTTTGGATTGTTTGGTTTGGGAAGGATTTTTCAGTCGAGCAGTGCGCCTGAGTTCGGTCATTAGAAGATTTTGGTGCTGAGAAGAGAAACTGTTGTTTGGGTGTTTCGACGATTTCAAGGGGGCTTCGAGCTACGGCAGCGGTCCGGAAGGAAGACAAGGCAGTGGCTTTGAATGGAAGGTTTCGTGGATAAGCATAAAAAGATGGCGATTAGGGCAGAGGAAGAATAATTGGATCTTGACGATTTCGATACAGAGGAGATACCGGTGGAGGAGAGAAGTTCGGGATTTCCAGTGGTGGGAGTGTTGTTGACAGACAGTAAGGTCAAATTTCCAACTCTCAAAGAGCTCATGACATCGCTTTGGAGGCCGGGGAAAGGAATTTCGATCAAAGAAGTTGGTGAGAAAAGGTATGTATTTAGTTTCTATCATCGTGTTGATATGAATCGTGTACTTGATGGAGGCCCATGGCAATTTGAGCGTAATCTGTTGTTATTGAAAGAAGTTAAGCTTGATGATATTCCACATAAGATTGTTTTAAATGAGGCTGATTTTTGGATTCAAATTCATAATGTTCCCTATAGTGTAGTAAATCTAGGTACTGCCAGGCGGGTTGGAAATTTTATTGGAAAATTTATAAAATATGATGATAATCAGAATAGTGAGAAGTGTGAGTCTTATATGAGAATCAGGGTGTGCATGAACGTGGATAAACCTCTGAAAAAAGGAACCAATGCAACCTGAAGAAGGAAGGAAAGAGGTATTGGGTGGATTTCAAGTATGAAAAGTTACCCAATTTCTGTTTTATATGCGGTTTAATTGGGCATTCAAATAAGTTTTGCCATTTAAATTATGAAGAAGATCTAGTTTTGGAAAAACATTTTGGGGTCCAGCTTAGAGCAGGCAGTGGGGTGAAGACCAGTCATACATGAGGAAGTAAATGGCTACTGGAGGGTTGATCGAGCTCTGGCCGGCAGAGACCGTAGGTATGTGGGGGATAATAAGTCTGATGACAAGATGGGGACGGGGGAAAAAGTCTATCTCAGAATCAGCGGCGCAGAGTATAACTAAAGGCGTGGGAGCCGAAACAAAGGAGGAAACACCGGGGAAACAAAAGAGAAGAAGGATTTGGGATATATGCCTAGGGAGTAAAAAAATACTAAAAGCACTACATATGAGAGATAAAATTCTCTCGCTTGAATATTAGTATATTTATATTATTTTCTTATACCGAAAAGTTCCACATATGAAAGGCAAAATTTTGCTGAGTTACGATCAATTATTAGTTTGTTTATCTTCTTATACCTAAAAGCACTACATATGACACACTACAAACAAACTGCCTTTTACCAACGCTAATAAAATCGTTGGTATAGATATAAAAATTGTTGGTATAGACATCAATTAGCTATACCAACGGAAATACTAGCTATTCCCATAGAAACTTTATCGTCAGTATACGTTCCGTCGGTGTATACCAACACCAACATATTTCTTACCTGTGGGAATAGCTTATAAACTTGTACCAACAAACCAATAACCGTTAGTAATTACATTTACCGTTAGTATAGAGATGTAATAGTTTTGCATAACTTTTTGCTATAGCAACGGTTAATATACCATTGCTATTGTCCTATTATATGAAGCAATAATAATTACGTGATATTTAGAAACACAAACACCACATATCCAAAATAAAATTATAATTTGCAATAAAAAATAAAAACATCATTCAATGTATTTTTCATAATAACACCAGTCTTCTTTATACGGTGTAAAACATCTATACTCAACCAATATAAATATCAAGTACTAATACTGAATTTGTTGATAAAATATAAATCCATGTCAAGTCTTTTACAATCCAAGTCAAGTCATTATAATGCAATTATGGTTGCATTTGAAATAGAACACTTTGAGCAGTTTGCTAATTCCCAAGTTCCATGTCTGATTTTCTTCATCCTTAGAACACTCAGAATGCAGAACTTGTTATATGTTGAATCAAATCTTGAAAACCTACAAAATTCACATCACTTTGAATTTATTTTCTGAAAAAAAAGTGAAACCTAAAATGAAGCAATTAACTAGTACAAATAGCATACCCCATATATACTCTAGATGGTGAAATAGAGGACACTGAGTACCTGCAGAGAGTTAAAAATCAATAAATACATCGAGCAATATCAATAGGAAAGAACAATAGGATTAAGTGATATTGAGTCATTTTTCAATATGCACGAATCTGAAGTGTAATAGCCTATTTTTTATACTTTTAGACTCGCAATAGAGCATTTTTTCCTATGCTAGTGAACAATGAAATAGTAGAGTCGTATCTTGGGTTTTAACATTACTCCGTAATCAGTGTTACACTAATACACTGTCATCTTGTGTTTTTCACATTTGTTCAAAGTGTTAACCACTGAACCCAGTAATAGGATTCTCTCCTCCTCACCGTATTGTTTGGAGCTTTACTGCTATATATATATATATATATATATATATATATATATATATATGTGTGTGTGTGTGTGCATACTCCGTATATATATATGGAGATGAAAGTTTAGATTATTATTAATATTAAGAATAATCAAGGTAAAGTAAAACTTAAGAGAAACCAAAGATTGAAAGTGTAAACATGAATCAAAGTAAAGCCAATCACGTAATTATAATCGAGAAATCCTATAAAGAAATAAAACTTGATTCAACCAAGGAGGATCCCACAAGAAGTCAAGAAAGAGAACGAGAATTAGAGAGGCCAACAGAGGCAGTCCCTAATTTTCGTCGCCTTCATTAGCGGTTGCAGGTGGACGCGATTGCGGCGGTTACAACTCGTGTTATTAATGCTCCTTTGTATTCTTAAGCTTTCATTAATGTTCTCAATCAAGTTTTCTATTATACTCTCAAATGGTTGCTTCTACACGCTGAATACCACAATACTCCATCTGCTTTGTTCTATAACCTATAGGCCACTCTACAAAATAGAATTTGCCACTTAAGCCATAGCTGATAAGTGCTCCGTATGTTTTTTCCATCTTTTTGACTATATCTCCTTAAAGAGTAACTCATGTATTATTTGAAGTACACATAGTATTTATTAGATTTTTGTCCTCTCAAGACTTCATAACTTGACCATGGAGTTGACCATAGACATGGGAGAACAACGATAACACATAACAGGGAAAAAATAACCTGAATCCAGGAACCTTGAGGGGTTGAAGGGCATGGAAAGCATTTGCTAAAGCAGTCAGAACCTAAAACCAGATGCACCAACAAAAATAGTTAATACCAAACCAGTTAAAGAGCAGCATCGAAATCCAAGAGCCAATTAATATATAGTCTAAAATATGGTCTGGGATTAAAGGAAGCCTTCTTTTCTTCACAATCTTTCGGAATGAACTTGACTGTTATGGCAAAGACCAGTCATGGAAATAAATAGCTTCACACATCTAAGGCAAACACACAAAATGTAAGCTCTCCCTCAACCTCCAGAACACATACCTTCGGCAAAAGGGAAAGCGTACTCACTCCTTGATCCGCAGGATAAAACTGCACAAGTGCACAAGAAGTGAAATTAATAAGAAAAACAAAACATTACCGATCTGATAATCTTCAAACAAAGTGTAAAGAATACAAAGAAAGACAGTAAACAAATACAAACCTTCAGAATAGAATACACCAGTTTAGCATAAATATCAATATCAAGGAATGACAGAGGTTGCACATGATGTGATTGAGGACTTTTAAGTTTTATAGCAAAGGTGACTGAGAGTAACTCAAAATATGTCAGCTTTTAAGTTTGGTAGCTTTAATTTTTTTCTATTAATATACATGACATCTAAGGACCAAGGCTTCTATTGCAATCTAATGCCTATTTCCATTGGATGTCTTCGGTTTTGATTATGTTTTATTATATATATAAACTATAGAGTAGTTTTTTCATCTGCTCCCAATCAGCCACACAAAAGGCAGCGAGCAGGTCCCAATTGGAATAGCTCTCCTGCAGCTGAACTACCCTCCGCCTGGAAGCTGCGAAATATCATCTTCTTAGACGCCGCCATGATCCATCGTCTCAAAATTAAATCAAAACACGAAATATAATGATGGAATCCATACCTTAATGATGAAGATACGACGTTCAGAAGTTGCACAACTGATCTGCTGCTAATGCATGGCCGAATCGGCGAGCCTGTGAGTTACGAACAGGAGCGATGTTTCAGATTTGGATTGATAAAGGATAGATCTTAAACTTCCATTTCATGTCTCGGTAATTAAAAAATTCCAGATTCTCGGTAATTAAAAATAGATCTCAATCATTTTTTGTTGGAGAATGATTGAAAGAGTTGAGAAGTTGAACCAGAGTCTCGACATGAACGGCCAATTAGTCTCGATTGAAAGAGCACTGTACAACTAAACGGTGAATGAGTTTTTGGAAGGGTTTTCAATTACAATGGACTATATTTTAACTCTTGGAATCTAAATGCTCCAGCCCAACCTTTTTACGGAATTCTCAAACTTACTCTTCTAAATTTAGTAATCATATTTTACTTACATTTTTTGGGAATTTTTTACTTACATTTTTAATAATAGTTGTTGGTATATTCTAACAATATACCTACGGATATGATTTTAATATAAGAAATGCATAACATATACCAACAATATAAACTAGTCGTTGGAATTGATATTGTAATAACCAACAGAAAAGATTAATCGTTGGTATAGCTATCCTATACCAACAATAAATGTCTGTTGGTATAAAAAATTGTTGGTAAATGTCAGATTGTTTGTAGTGACATAGAATTCTCCCGCTCAATTATTAGTTCGCTTATCTTATCTAACCTATGTAATACTTAATTGTACTATGTATTAGAGAGCAAATTATCCCGCTCAATTATTAACTAGCTTATCTTCTTATCTTCTTATCTTCTTATGTACTTGAAAGCACTACGTATAGGAGACAAATTCTTCCGTTTAATGAGTAAGTTGTTTATCTGTATACCTAAAAGCACTACATATGAGAAGAAATTCTCCCGTTTAACTATAAATCCGCTTATCTTATACTACCTCCGTCCCGAAAAGGTTCACCATATTGACTTTTCTTGGTCAATGATGACAAACTTTGGATAATGATTTTAATTATTATCTTTGTATATAATTTATAATTTATAAATTTTATACTTTTATGAAAATATTTTGAATAAGGAACATTTTGATATAAATTTCATATTCAAAATAATTTCGTATTAAAAGATATCATTGATCAAAGTTGAGTATCATTGACCAAGAAAAGTCAATTTGGCGAATCTTTCCGAGACGGAGGGAGTATCTAAAAACACTACATAGAGAGAAGAAATTAGCTCGCTCAATTATTAGTCCGCTTATCTTATACGGAGTACCTAAAAGCACTACATGTGAGAAATGAAAATTCTTCTGCTCAATTATTAGTCCATTTATCTTATACTTTTTGAGAAAATTCTCTCGCTCAATTATTAGTCAGTTTATCTAACTAATAGCTAAAATCACTATATATGAGAGAGAGAAAATATTGTGCTCCAGTATTAGTCCATTTATCTTATAGAAAGTGAAACAATTACAGAGTAGCTCGTCACTAGATATATTGTCCTTTTAATATAAGTATCATTTATATGTAGGATGTCATACTTGGTATTTTTGTTTAAATATGTGTTGTGCTTCCCATGATTGACCATAAAACCTACCTAGCCCAACCATGACTCACCAATGAACAAAAGTCCATGTTCATCACATACACTTCCATTGTCACTACAAAACCCGACTGTCAAATGTGAATGACCACCTTCCTCACCCCTATTCAAACACAATGATTCAATTCATGCCCAAACACATGAATGACCCAATTCAACCAACCTTGAGTCCTTGACACGGTTCACGTCACACTCAAACTCTAACCCGACTATGATTTTTTCTTTTTGAAGATTAACCCGACTATGATTTAATTAGTCATAAATTTGGAAATTCAAATTATTATAATGAATCTATTATAATATAATAGTAAATTGATTCTAAACGGTGTTCCCGTCCAAATGCTTTGCAAAATGCATGCACTAGATTATTCTGTCAATTAATGTTGCATGTGTGTTTGTTATGACTCTAGATTGTTCTATCATTTTATCATTTAATGCATTTGTCCAGCCTGTTGTTCCGTCCTGTTTTATTGTCTGCCCGTTAAAATTCCGACTAAACTTTTGATTTCCCCATACTTCCTATTACGCCAATGCAACCATTGGTTTTCACTTATACGAATTTAAGACTTTTTAAAATAGCTGTAATTGGAAATATGTTGAATTTATTAAATTGGCAGGCTCAATGTCATGAACTTGACAACTACTCCGTATTTTCCATTGTACCATTGTTGTTCCGTCTTTGCAATTGACTTTAGAGATTGTGTTTGCTGATTATTTTGTTGTCTTTGTTAGTCACTCAAATCCGAAAGAGACCGAGATTGTAGCTAGGGCTGTGGAGTTGATAGAAGACATGAACCAATGTTGGTCTTCATGGGTGAAAAATATGGGCCGCCTGAGTTTAGTTGAATACGAATGAGAAACACCCACCCCGTATAGAGTGTAACTTCAGTGATGCAGAGGTTAACAGATGTAAATTCAAAATAAAATTAGCTATCATGATAAAAAAACCAAAGGTCCTTTTAAATGAGGTAAAAAGGGTTTCAGTGAACAAGATACAAGGGCATGCTAAGAAAGTACCAAACGTCAAAATTTCAAACTATCTATGTTATACAAGAAAGACCAAGGCTTTTAAAATTCAAAGAGATGACTTCCTCTTAACTACATCTGTGAACCGTACCAGCAAAACAACTAAAATATCATTAAAATAGGCATTTTGTCAATTGTTTATATTGTAGTATTATTAAAACGAATCAAAATTGGCAGTTTGTCAATTGTTTTAGAGCATCTTCAATGCTAAAACGTTAACGGTAAATATGTGGCATGAGAAATAACCAATTAAAAAACAATAAATAGAATCTCTCTCCTTATTTGAAGGATATTACATCATTTTGGTAAGTTTTTCTTCACAATGTCAAACACAATGTCTAGATGTAGACAATGTGGTTGACTTTGAAGAGAAAAACTTACCAAAAACACATAAGACCGTGGAAAGAAGAAGAGAGAAATGTTATAAAATCAATATTTTAGGTCTATCCACTACAAAAAAACTCGCGTGTTGTCACAGATTTTTGTCACGGATTACGGCCGTGACAAAGTTGTCACGGGCTTTGTCACGGAATATTGGGATTTGTCACGAAACTGTGTTGTCACGGATAGGACTGTGACAAAATCCGTGACAAAATATTGTCACGGATTTGGTCCGTGACAAATTTACTCCGGCGACCGGTTTTTTAATACAGTGAATATTTTTTTGCTCCCGGGCATTTGTCACGGACAAATCCGTGACAAATCCGTGACAAATTTCAAAAAAACTTTGTCACGGATGGATCCGTGACAAAATCCGTGACAAACTTCAATTATTGATTTTCCCACGGTAACCTTTAATAATACAGTACGAAAAAGGGTTGTCACGGAAGCAGATGCACGAGAAACTATTGGAGGAACGTGAAGCAGAGGCTTGAAGGCGGGATGAAGAAGCTCGGATACGGGATGAAGAGGCAAGAAGAACGAGAGAAAAGTTGGAAGAGATGGAACGACAAATGCATATGTTCAACGCCACCTAACACCTATCCATGCACATACAGCACCTCGAGATGACTCCACAAATTCCCTTCGCGAGCAATATGGGCAATATGGACAGTATGGGCATTAGGGGTTTTGCTAATTATAGCCATATCTCCAACAATTTTTCATATGGATATTATGATGATACCCTTTATTGACTCTCGGAGCTCAAGCATACCGTGGCAACAGCCGGACTGGCAGCCGTGGTGGCAGTCGAGGCAGTCATCGTGGCAGCAGCCGTGGCCACGGAAGACAACCCGATCATCGTGAGGAACCTAATGATAATGATAATGATGATTATGATGACCATTGATGATTTGTAATAACTAGTTTATTGACATTTTAAGGATTTTTAAATTTTGATGGTTACTGTACGAATATTAAATATTTGTATTATATAATGATGGTTTGATTTGTTTATTATTTATTATGATAAATAATGTTTAATGGTGATTAATGATGATTAATGATGATTGTTTAATTATTTACTATAAACAATTATTTACTAAAATTAATGATGATTGTTTAACTATTTATTATAAACAATGTTTATTAAGTTTAAATTTTTTAAAAAGCGTCTAAATTTTAATGGTTATTATTTATTAAATAAACTTTTGAAATAAACATTCAAAAAATTAATGCGCTGAATTTTTAATTTTTTTTAAAATTAAAACTTTTGTCACGGACGGTTCCATGACAAAATATAAATTCAATTTAAACATTCAATTTAAATACCCAAAACGCTGAAAATAACGTATTTTTTTTAAAAAAATGTTTTGTCACGGATGAGATCCGTGACAAGTTCAAAATTTTGAATATTTTTTTTGAAAGTTTTAAAATACCCGCCCACCTGTTTCGAAATTTTTCAAAATTTTTTCAAAATCTTTTGTCACAGATATGTCCGTGACAAAAATAAAAATTTGAATTTTTCATATTGTTTCAAATACCCGCTCACTCTATTTCGAAAACTTTTTTTTTAAATTTGTCACGGATATTTCCGTGACGAATAATTATTTTTTTTTGAAAAATAAAAAAATTTATTCACGGATGTGGCCGTGACAAATAAAAGGTGATGGAGTTCCGGTGAAGTCTTTTGTCACGGACGGTGGTCGTGACAAATCTGTGACAAACGGTCTCACGGATTAAAGTCCATGACAAAAACGTTATGACGCCCCTGGTGTCACGGATTTGTTCCGTGATAAATCGATGACAAAAAATCATTTGTCACGGATTTTTTGAACTACAGTCCGTGACAAGATCCGTGACAAAGAGCGAGTTTTTTCGTAGTGATCTCTCTCATGCCACATGCGCGTCGTGCGCATTATAGCATTGGAGATGCTCTTATACCCCCTGACCTCATAAAACACTATAAACCTGTGCGAGCAAAATATTCATCGTAGTCATCTATATGCTATTTAAATCATGTAACCACTGTTAAACAAAACATACATAAAATGAAATTATTCAAACTTCTTAAAAAATAAAATTATGTATTGACGATCTAGAATATATGCATTGCAAAAAATGGTTTTAATGATGTTTACAAGTGTTGAAAATATGTGTTTTATGACTTCAAAGTTTTTAGATCAAAATTTAATTGTTATATGAATACAAAAACTAACATATGCATAAATGGATTCCAAATTTAATACTATATATAATTCAATTGTTAAATTTAATACTCATCAAATGAATCTTGAATAAAAATGGTGTGATAACAGCAAAATATAAAATGTAAATTAAGGGGAAAAATAGTTTGATTCATCTTACACGGATTTTTAAATAAACTGCTATTTTAATCCGAAGTCGTGTATGACATATTTTGGAAAAATAATCATATAAAATTAAGCACTGCTATTCTAAAGTTAGTAGCTGGTGATGAACAAAGCACAACACAGACTACAAATGTTGTCTATAGAGAAGGTGTTCAGAATTTGTAGATCTAATGTTTGCTATTCAACATTAGTTCTTTTAATTGATGCAACAATGTGCCTTTTGAGAATTTGTTTTTTAATTATATGTATTTATTTTTTTGTCGTGCATCTCACGGGTGAGCTACTAGTTAATTAATAAAGAGCGAAAGTGGTATATGTGGTTATTAATTTTAGTGGATTAGTTGTAGTTATTAATTTTAGTGGATTAGTTGTCAAATTTTTTTTATATAGTGGATTGATTACATATGGTCAATGCATATGATCAACTAATTAACTGACTTTCACCGTGAAAAGTAACCCTATTTCGTTATTAAAAAAACCTTTGTCCTCATAAAACCTATCTTCTCTCATGATCATCAATTGCCAAGAGCCTATCATCTATATATAATGCTAAACATTCTCATATATTTTCCCAACATTATTCAAGTCTATCGCAAAAAGGAAAAAAGTTTTAGAAAAATAACAAAAACAAAACAAAACATGGAGTCTAAAAAGTTGATGGTTCTTCTTTTGGTGTCTTCTCTTCTCTTAACCATGGCAGAGTGTCAAGTATTCTCCGGTTCGCCTTCTTCAATGTCATTTTCTTCTATGTCATCAGATTCACCATCAGGATCTCCATCATCGTCTCCTTCATCCTCACCGGTGGCTTCAACCATGGAAGAAGGAGCTGCCGCCGCAACCTCAGCATATGAGAAATTGAAAAACAAAATAACAACCTGAAATTTTATTTCAACCATTTAAAAGAACTCGTAATAATTTTTTCTGTTACCTTTTTCTATTGAAAGGTGGAAAATTGCAAGGACATTTCAGCTGCTATCTATGTCCTTTAGTTTCGTTTGGTGTCACAAGCTCTTTTTAGGTACATATATTTATAGTTAATAAATAAATATACGAGCAATAAATGTTGCTCTTCTCGTTGTAAGTTTGTAGCAATAAAAAAGTAGTATATAAAATAACCATTTGAATGCTAGAGCACTGCTTAATTTTGTCCGAAAAATAACTTTTATGATATTGATTTTTGTTTCAATCAAACTCGGAAACAAATCTTGATAGAGAGTAGATGTTAGGAAATATGTGGTGTTATTTCTCGTATATTATTCTTATTTTTAAAAAACTATGGTGTCATTCTTTAAAATTTAAATGTACATTTTTATATGCATGTGCACACAATTCTCTTTAGTGGTGTCGATTGACACCATAATGTTGATCCTAGCTCCATCCCTCCAATGGGGTAGAATGGTTTAGGACCTATACTCATAGATTTTATCTTTCAAAATCTTAATTAATCATTTATTTATCTTAAAGGTTCAGGATGTTTTCTTTTGGATTGTATTCAGTCCCAGACTAGACCAGACTTAAACAGATCATACCAGACAAGACTTGGACAGTTATAAAACACATAGAGACCAAATGTTTATCAGACCAGACCAAACTAGACCAGATTTAAACAGACCAGATCAGATAAGATCATATCTGACCAGATCAACAAATTTCAGTCCAAAAAAGATCCTAATACACCTTTGCAAAAGTGCATGGCTCGATTGGCTGCCCTTTGGTAGACTTTTCAAAAATACTTTGTCATATACGGAGTGCTACGGTTTACGGAAGGTAAAACGTGACTATACCTCTTTTTTCCCATCATCATTATGTTAATTAAAAGTGTTTTACAACACTTTTAATTATTGCATTTACGTAACTGGCCTTTTGTCCTCAAGGTTACAAAAAAGAAGATAAATGACAAAATTGTGACCTCTTTTTTCTATTTCCAAAAATGTGACCAATTTCAAAATCATACCATGCAGTGATCGACAAGTGACAAGGTGACTCCATCCAAAGTGACTCCGGTCATAATGACTCCGGCCACAGTGATTGTCCGCTCACCGATCAAAGTGACTGCCCACCCACCGCCGACCGGCCACAGTGACTGCTCGTCCACCGCCCACGAGCCACAGTGACTCCGGCAGTCCGACCACATTGACTCTGATCATAGTGACACCACCACACTGACTATCAAAGTCATTCCGGCATAGTGACACAATACCTTGACACCACCTTCAATGCACCACCATCATCACACCACTGGTCACCGCGCCACCGCACCACAGTCACAACACCACCGACAGCCCCACTCTCGCACCACCCCAACCTCACCTTTCCATCCCCTAAGTCACGCCGCCGCCCAACGTTGTGCCCCACTATCCCAAACCTAACCCTATCCGCCAAGCCATTAACGTACCCTAGCCCCAATGGCCTGGCTCTGCCACGCCGCCATTAAGATACCCTAGACCCAACGGCCTGGCTCCGCCGTGCCATTAACGAACCTTAACCTTTGCCTACAACCCCGTTTCATGTTCTCTACCCTAGCCTCCATCAAATTCAACTAAATCGCACAAAAAATGATCAAAGAAGGAGAAGATTAAAGCGTGTGATTGAAATGCGCAGGTGGCCGCGCTTGAAGTAGGGCGGTGGCGGTGGCTCTCATAGAGACAGTGGCGGCGGCTCTCACAAAGATGGCGGCGGTGACTCTTCAGTGACGGCGGAAAAGGCTGAACTCCATGTCAGTTGCAAAAGCTCAAGGGTTGGGGTGAGAGGAGATGCTAATTTAGGGTAAAGATAATTTTGGGCTTTTGATATCAGGAGATACGGAGTAGCGGAAGTAACTAAATGTTACTTTTGTGTCCAATTGAGTTTTAGTCACATTTTTGTCAACTAAAAGCGTATTAGTATTACTTTTGCCCTTCTTTCTAAGTAATTTAACTTCTACATACAAACTTAGGGAAATGGTCCAACATAGGAGCAAAACATGGCCCTTGTGGCCAAATATGAGCTCTTCTTTTTAATTGCAAAAATAGAAGTATTTTTAATGCGTCAGGACATATTTGCCCCCTCTATAATTTTAATGTATCTGTTTGCATGAATAAAAGACCCTAGAGCCGCCAAAATGGTCCAAAACTCGCAGGCTGACCCATTTAAACCCATTTATTGGTGGGTTAGGGTTAAAATTTTTTACCCATTTAGTTCGCGGGTTACGCGGGTCAACCCACACAGGTTGCAGGTTTAATTGGGTTGGCCCATCGGGTTGTGGGTTGATCCAAGGGCCAAAATACAAAAATATAGTTGTGAATTTTATTATCTTAAATATTGTTCTTTTACAACCAATTTTATTATAATTACAATTAAAAAATTACAACCATGGGAAAGCAATATTTATTTCTATAATAAACATTCAAATAAAATGTTGAAAAGTATATTTTATGTGAAGTTTGATACAATATTTAACAATTAGTAGTCATTATTTACAAATAATCAATCAAAAGGTTTGTGTAGATCTTTATTTTCCCGTGACCGAACGACCACCGGCAACCACCACACGCGCCGACACACGCCGGCGAGTGGGAGAAAGTCGCGGCACGGTCCGCACGCTTCGTCTGAAGGAAGAAGATGACCACGTCAGTGCTGAGTCAGCCGCCACATGATCCGAACAAGCCATCTGCTTGATCTCAAGTCAAACCCATGCATCTTCATATGATATGGAGATAAAGAATTCGGATACCGGTTGGGGGATCCTGAAATGAAGAAAGTTATTCGAAGCAGAGATGTTGTATTTCATGAAAACGAGTTTCATGAGTGTGCTCCAAAAACCCACAAACAACATAACTCTCACATTGCAGAAGAAGTCCATGTGTCATCAAACATTTCTCTCAGCAACGAGGAAACGAGGAAATGCATGATACTGCTGAACAAGAGAGTGATAGTTCAATAGATGATGATGCTCACAGTGATGATATTTCTCAGCAGGGGAGCCTTCACCTGAAGATACTCAAGTTCGATGTTCTATGCGAGGTATAGTTCCACATAGAAAATTCTCCACATCCAAATGGATACTTGTTGCCAGCGAGCATCGCAGGAACAAGAGAAATAAAAAAAGGTGGAGGGGGAGATTTGTGGGGATCTTTCACTTTTTTTCTTGGAAGCTGCCAAGAGGCATCTAACACTTTGGAAGGAGCTCTCCAACAAATGAACATGGGAGAAGATATGGAGATAGCTAGAAACCTCCTTAGCCATGTGAATGGAAGCTTGAGTGCAACTTTCTTTTGTCTCCAAACTAATCTATTAAACATAGTGCTTCTTGTTGTTCATTAGTATCAGTTTCTAAAGTGAGAAAAGTGAGTCAAGACTCAAGAGTGAACTACACTTAGAGTGTTGGGTGTGTTTCGGAAAATAAAGAAAATTAATTAAAATAAATTAATTAAATAAAATGACTAAAGAAAAACAGGAAAGGAGATGAAGCAGAATTAGTCAAAGCTCGTGCTACGCACGATTTCCTTAAAACGTATTTGTTGCCTCCCACGGTGGTAGGAGCGTTGCAACAATCGTTTCCCAGGATACGATGACTACGAACTAATGTTTGAGCACACAAACAAGAGTTCCAGCGAACGAGAACCAAGTATGAACACAGAAGGAAGTTTGCTGAGTAGCTTTAAGTGTTTTTAGCTCAAGAAATTCGTGAGGAATGTATTGTGCATTGTGTTTGTTGCAAAGCACCTGCCAGCTATTTATAGGAGGATTTGTTGTGTGTTAAATGGGGTGTTAATGGACCTGAACGTTGGACTTCAATGACCAGTCCGTTGGGCATTGAATCATCCATAAACTGTCCATTTAACGTTGCATTAAAAGACAAGAACGTTGGGCATTTAATGGTTGTAACGGCTTGGAGCAGTTCTGGTGCGCGATCAGAATACCCCCATCAGAGTTGGAGCAGTTCTGGTGCGCGATCAGAATACCTCCACCAGAGTTGGAGCAGTTCTGATGCTACCAGAAGACCTCCACCAGAGTTGGAGCAACTCTGGTCCGAAGCTACCAGAGTTCGACCTTTATAAGGGGGTGAAAATCCCTTGAGTTTTTCGGTGTGGGATAAAACACACTAGAAACTCACCATTTTCCCAGATTTTCCATTTCAACGAGTGAACTTCGAGAATCAATTTCTCATTCACCCGTTATCCGTTTTGAGTGTACCATATATCGAATTGTAGCCCTTAACAAGGACAATCCGAAACCACTTTGACCCGACCCAAATCGGAAGTGGACCCCACTCAAATAATTGCCCCAAAAAGACCATTTAATGCAATTTTAACACATTTTTCCAACATAGAGTAGGAGTGTATTAGTGAGGTTTTTTGTTGTAATAGTTGAGTGTGAGAGTTTGCTCATTCTATTGTAATTTTGTTCTTGATATTGAGTAAAACAATTTTCCAATCCCAACAACAATTTTGATCTCAACACCCAATTCAAAACTCAGGTGTTATATCGTCCTAGACTGTCCAAAACTTTTCATAACAAATTTACAATAGTTTGACTTTATATTAAACAGAGTAATTAGTATACATCAAATGATTAATTAGAGAGATGCTCTACCACGCGCAATGTATAACTGAAAACAAGTGAAAAGAAGTCAGGTGTTGAAACAAACAAGACTCTTTTTTGTTAGGGAGTGGGGTGGGGTGGGGGCTGTTTCACATAGAACCAAAGTCCAACCCTTTGATGACCTTGCGGCGCCACATGGCTGTTTCAGGATCAAACCTGAGGTCCACTGTTGGCCAATAGTGTAAATCTTGCTTCAACGTAAGCACTTGGTCCTTCCCATTCAACTTTACCGTTCTTACACGAACAAACCCCTCATGCTCTAATCCCTGTCCATTTGACCACATTCATTATCAGAATATACCAATTATTACTTAGACTTGTTGATATTTGTTTATTGCAATTTTGAGTTAATTAATAGCATGTTCTTCAGGATTCTCTCACACCTAGACTATGCCTAACTACTTAGCTTCGAAGCTCGTTTGGTGATCATGTTTTTCACCTTATTAAGCTCATTAGCAAACATTTTTACCAAACACGCAATTTTTAATTTCGCGCGTTGAATTGTGTAATATAATACTTCCTCCGTTCCATAAAAGTTGCAACATTGGAATTTTGGCACTATTAAAACACCTTACTTTGACTACGATTTTCTAATAATATATACAATAAAAATATTATGTATAAAATATTAATAAATTTGTATTAATATAAATTTCCAATATATTAACTTTTTTTAATGTTTACTAATACGTAAATAAATATAATTACAGTCAAAGTTGCGCGTGTATTGATTGTATTGATTGAAGTTACCGTAGAGGAACATTTCAGCTGTATTGTCATATAAGTATTTCTTAATTTTATTAATAAGATATATTTTAAATATAATTTTTACACAAGTCAGCAGAATCAGTCAATCCAAACACTTAAGCCAGAACTTCATAAGTTTCAAAAGAATCATCCAGTTAAGCCATAACTTAATAAGAATTAATCTCAACTGTCCAAATTGTCAATCTGAGGCACAATAACCCTATCTAATGCATTTTTCGAATGAATAATATAGATAAAGGATCAAATACAAACACTTCCTAATTTATAAACTACAAACTCATCTTAGCCATTCAATGAGTTGATCTAAAGGCTATAGACGCACAATGGCATTTTGATAATAAAACAAAACTTTTTTCGGATGTAGTACTTTGAACATTAATATGTAACTGCTTATTCGTTACAGAATAATATGTAACACTTTGAACGTTAATATAAAATACAAATAGTGTAAAGATGCATCATACAAATATTTGTACAATAAGAACTAGTTGTACCTGATTTCGTAACCGAATAATATATATATATATATGTATATATATATATATATGTGTATATATATATATGTATATATATATATGTATATATATATATATATAGAGAGAGAGAGAGAGAGAGAAGTTCATGTCCAGAATTTTGGACAGAAACCGCCTTCCGGACAGCGGCGTTTGGCCCACTTCTCGATAGTATTTTTTGATGCAATTATTATGACATGTTCTTCATCAAGTCTAGTTTATCCACAAACAATTTCAGCTAAAAATTTGATCAGGAAGAAAGTCAAATAAGTTTTGGAAGATAACTGCGTTTTATATGTAAATAAAGGGCGCAGTTATCTTCCAAAAATTATTTGACTGCCTTCTCAATCAAAATTTTAGCCGAAATTGTTTGTCGATAAACTAGACTTGATCAATAACATGCCATAAACATTTCATAAAATAACTTGACAGGGAAGCGATCCAAATGTCGTTGTCCGGTCGGAGGTTTTGGCTAGGAAGGCCTGATCGGAAGATTTCTCTCTCTCTCTCTCTATACACACACAAACGTATATAGTGCGGTTTTAATAAGAACGATGTTTAACGTGAGAACACCCATAACGCATTTATATCAATGCGGTGCACAACGGAGTTCTTTTGTTGCACATTTCTAACTTTGCTTAAACTAAGTCAATAATAAATAACACGGTGACATTTTAATAAATATTATGATAACACGAAAAAGTGCAATAGACGAGCTTTATTGTGCATCACGTCGAGTTAAATGTGGCATTCTCACGTTTTCACATTAGGCCTTGTTCTCATTTGATCTAATGTGATACTTTTATCCATTATCCTTATTTTGATCATATACTACGAATTAGATATTATTTCAGATATATAAGGCACCTATTAAGAGAGAGATTTTCATGCACTTAATTTGTTTCCACCTTGAGTAGCATACCAAAACCTATAAAAACTTAGGTGGAAATGAAGACAAGAACCACCACATAGAATTGAGTCTAATATGCACGACAACAGTCACAACACGGGTACTCGATCAACTGCGTATAGCTTGCAAAATTAATAAAATCATGGTGTATAGTCAAGGGATTAAATCAAGTATTAATGCTTAAAATAATTGGAGAAGTAATAGCACACCTTAGTAACCTCAATAAAAGCATCCAAATTAGGAGTTGCTTTTCCATTTATTTCAACAATCCACTGAAAAGCATCCAGACCATACCGATCTGCAGCGCTGCCTCTTAAACAACTGAAAATTTGAAGACACGAAAGCTAATGACCATCTATTTTTAGTTTTCATTTGGTAGAATTTCATTTGGAGCTTTTAATATTTTTAGAGCTCAAAAAAATGTTGTTTTCAAAAACCAATGATGCTCGTATGTGAAACGCTGTGTCGTTATGTCCTAAAGCATTTCAAATACAAGATCGCCTTTATTTGTTTGCAGTTTTGCACTAGTAACCTTATTTTATACTAAAAATTAGGGAGAACTATCAAATAAGCCCTCGAACTTACATATAAAGTGTAAATCAGCCCTTTTATAGGAGGTTCTATCCAGCCGTCGCTATTTGGGGCGGTTTCCGGTTGAATTGTTTGATGAAATTTTTTGAGCATCTTTTTCATTAAGTCTAGTTTACCCATACCAAATTTCAGCTAAACATTAAACCGAGAAGGTAGTCAAATGATTTTCTGAAATATACTGCGTTGTCTAAGTGCGCAGTTATCTTCAAAAAATCATTTGGCAGCCTTCCCGATTGAGTTTTTAGCTGACATTTGGTATGAGTACACTAGACTTAATGAATAAGATGATAAAAAAGTTTCATCAAAAAATTCCACCTGGAACCGCCTCAAATGACGACGTCCGGACAAAGCCTCCTATAAAAGGGCCTATTTGCACTTTTTATGTAAGTTTGAGGCCTTATTTGATAGTTCTCCCTAAAAATTACCATCCATTAACCATCTTTAACCAATATGAGGCTATGGAATTCTTTGCCAAACACTTCTAACCACGTAACGAGTGCCTATGTACATTGCGCTAATTTGATGATCATGTTTCTTATTCACTTGGTCAACACAAATCACTCTTAATCTCTTACTTTGTGGTTATGTTAGACTATACTCATAGTGTTTGGATGTCACAAATTTGAAAGACAAAACAAGCTAAGTACATAGGCACTTAAAAACTTACCATGTCACATATACACCATGGCCTTCGTCGGGAAGAAATCCAAGTGCACGGACTGAAGAGTGAGGGTATTGGACAGTACACCCACACCAATTTATCGCATGTGTGGTTCCATTACCATCCCTCATGTCTGTTCCCACAAGTAGTTCCTTTTCAGTCCCCTGACAGACATTAATTAACGACTATTGAGGGGCGACATTTGAGGGGCAACATTTACAAACTTGAGAATACAGATTTGACATTTCAATATTGTGACTATTTGAGGGTCTAAAAGTGCGATTTTCCCAAGAAATGATGTAAAGATGACAAAACTAGCTGAAGTTATGCCAGCACCTGACGAAATATGGTCACACACAGCTTGCCATCACCATTGTTTAAAGCTTGACAAGCATCTTCAATGTCACAAAAGCAAGTGACTGGCTCTTTGTTGATGGCCAACAGCGTGTCACCTTGTTCTAGTAATTTTTCAGCACTTGAGCCAGCAAAACAACCTGTGACCTTTAAAGCCTGCCGTCTAATAGAGTCTTTTTTGAAAAGGGCCTGAAACTCAAAAAAACAATGTAGTGGTAAAAAAGGGAAGCTCCTCAAAAACATATACTGTATTTTCTATCTCCACCAATTGTGGGACTTCCCTAGACAAAGAACTAATGTGGTAGGTTGAAAACCAACCTAGAACTGTACTACAAGAATAAAGTAAGGAAAAGGAATGAGGAACATAAAACATGCCTAAAGGAGCTCACCTGGATCCAAGTGTCACTTAATCCAAAACTGCGGGCCTCAGAAAGTAATGTAGGATGAAGTTCAACTTCTAATATTCTCATTAGTGGCAAAGACCTTCTCACACCATTTATAACGCGAAACGGTCCATTGGCACCATAATCAATTTTTTCAAGAACTCGACTTATGGCATATATTGGAATTCCATAGGTTATCTGATCCAAATGAGAAGCTTTATTCGACTGGAAATACAAAAACTCCCATCAAAATTTGCTTAAACGAATAGAAGCTGGTGAGAAATTATGAAAATGAGCTTTTTCTTATATGATGGTAATCTTGTGAATTCCTATCAAAACAAGAATACACCATCTTATTTTTTAAAAGCCTTCTCATAGATAGTTATGAATGCCGACCAGATTTGAAAAAATTCCCCATAAGGCTTGAACTCTTCCACGCTCATCAGTCAGCACACCATTAATTGTAGAACCAAAATCTGAAATTGAAAGAGAGTAATACTGTGGACATTTTATGAAGTTTGAGAAGAATGCCTCGAGAAAACAATGAAATAAATCATATCATGATGCCCAAGATTGAAAAGATCGGAGAATTCAACGTACCATCGTCGAGCTCAATAACTTCCATGTTAATTGCTCTATATCGTGGCCTATAGTTTGGTTCAGTATACACGGAAACATAAGGATTTATAACATTTACTTTCCTAGAGATTGTCTGCATGGTTCTGCTTAATCGCACAAGTGACACTGAATCGCCACGACGAAGCAGGGGCTCTGTTCACATCCAATGAGAAGTTAGTTAACATTATATAGAAGTGCAATACTCTCATATAGGCAGTACAATCTGATGTACAATGAAATCAGATCAGATTTAACAACATTCACCTTACTTTTATTCTTTTTGTCGAGGTTTCTTTAAATAAATGAGGCCAAGATCAAAAGAATTAAGATGACCTTTTTCTTAATTTCCAAGTATAAGGGTATATCCAAAATTAGAGCCAAAACCCTTTCAATCGGTATACCTATACATATATGCATCCAAAATAATCCAAACGGTAAAGTTTATCTTTTCCCAGGTGGAATAGAAACCATAATTGAAAATTATATAATGCACATATACCCTGATAAAGAGCAGAAAAGTTTTGTTACCAGGGAAAAGCTCAGCCGCATGAACTGCAGAGTAACCATTAGGTCCAAGTGCAGAAGGGTCATATGCAACAAGAGTAAGATTGTGGACATGATCAAGGAAGACAACCTATTAAGAAGAAAAAGTTGTGCTTCAAAAGAAACATATAAAATTTCACAATCCTAAACTCAACATAAATAAAAACTGACCTCCCCGGGGATTACAATAGGAAAAGCAGCAAATGACAGCATGATATCACAAGCTGATACTACAACAGTGTTCTTATCTATAGCAACCAAGCCCATACTTTGTGAATGGTATACAATCACACCAGTACCAGAAAGATGTATTTCGTTGGCATCGTCGAGAAAACATGACATTGGAACATGAACCTACAATTTTGACTCCATAAATGAGTATAAAAAGAAATGAAATGAAACTGGTGGGCATACCTCAACTAGTACCAAGAGAGTGCCACAAGTGTTAGGTCCCTGGTTCGAATACTGAAAACTGCGATGAGAGGTTACTATGCTAAAAATGCATAGGGTCTCTGCAAGTAACGGGGACCAGAGCCCCACTCTCTATCCTATCCTTTTTTATAAAAAGAAATAAAATGAACAAAATCTGTGAACATCAAAACCAACAGTCAACTACAACAACGTCACTTAGGCCCAGAATCTTTTCTGTCATTCTCTAATGAAATAAATTTTATATAAAAATGTGACCGTGTATATGTGTAGATAAGTATTAGAGTAATTAGCTATCATTAATTAATTGTTAATTATTAGATACGTATCAGTTCATTATTAGATCGGTATTAGTAGTTAGCTAGATCCTATTTTTAGGATCTCTACGGGGAGGTTGTTACTCTTGTATCCTATATATGTAAAGGCCGTATGGCTCATTGAATACAAGAAAATTTATTCCTCAAAACTTACATGGCATCAGAGATTTAAGTTTAGCATCAGAATGGTGGAAATCACTAGCCCTGAATCATCTTCCCAAACCAGTAACCTTACCTCCCAAATGAGCTCGATGGCAAATTATCAATCTTTTCTTCACTCATCTATGCTCATCACTGGTCATAGAATTATCCGGAGTGGTCTCAGTCTACCAAACTAGCAATCGATGGAAGGTTAAAGTTGGGATATCTTACTAGAGAAATCAAAGAGAAACTAAGCAGTGATGATGGCTACAGAATCTGGAGGTCATAAATTTCCTTGGTGACAACCTGGCTACTGGCTTCTCAGTTCCACACTTCCATGGATGCATCAATTGCTAAGCCACACATGTTTATGAAAACAACAAAGGAGAGGTGTGGGATATCATCAAAGAAACATACTCAGAACTTGAGAACTCCTCTCAGATATTTGAATTGAAGACTCTTCTCAGGCAATCCAAACAAGGAGATAGATATGTCACAACTTATTACAATGATATGGCGTCTCTATCGTAGGATTTGGATCAGCGCCATGATGATGAATGGAAAGTGCAAAGGATATGGCCATACTCAAGAAGAGAAAGGAGAATGGCAGAGTCTATATGTTCCTAGCAGGAGTCAATAGATGTCTAGATGATGTGAAGGGAAGGATTCTTGGAAAGAAGCCTGTGCCCTCGATCAGAGAAGTATTCTCTGCAGTCAGGCTTGAAGAAAGCAGGAGAAATCATGACATAATGATGGATTTGGAGATCATTGTAAGAGATTGTGGAATACAAGGGAGACATGTTGGAAAATTCATGGCAAGCCACCAGGAGCTGGAAAGAAGATATTTGAGAAGGCTCTTCATAATACTGTGACTGAAACACAACAAGAGCAGCAAGTCAATCTCAAGTAGCCTTCTTTCACAAAGGAGCAAATAGAACAACTTCTTCACCTTCTAACTACTCAAAAAATATCCAACCCAAAAACTCCTTATTGTTCTTGTGCTCAAAATGGTACAATTACATCATTTTTCAGTTTTGGAAAGTCAAATCACACCTGGGTCATTGACTCAGGTGCCACAGACCACATGACCTCTATTTCAAATCTCTTTTTTTCATATAAACCCTACGCAAGAGATAAGAAAGTAAAAATTGCAGATGACTCTCTATCGGTCATTGCAGGGATAGGAAATGTTAAAGTTTCCTCATCTATTGATCTTTCTAAAGTCCTACATGTCCCAAACATGTCCTGTTAGCAAGTTAACCAAAGATCGTCAATGTTGTTTTACATTTTACCCTTCTTATTGCATTTATAAGGATCCGACATTGGGGAAGATGATTAGTAGTGCTAGGGAGGAAGATGGACTCTATATCTTTGATGAAGCAACTCAATCAAATAAAAGAGGTTAAAGAAATGCTTGCATGCAAACTATTTCCTTTTTCAATAATAAAGAGTTGTATTTGCTTCACTATAGACTAGGACATCATAGTTTTATTATTTGAATAAACTATTTTCTCAATTATTTAATAATAAAGATCCTTCATTATTTCATTGTGATATGTGTGCACCTACAAAACATTATAAAAACTCTTATGTCCCTCATAGCTACAAACTTATTAGCCTTTTACCCTTGTGCATAGTAATATTTGGGGTGCATCTCGAGTGTCTACTATAAAAGGAAAGAGATGGTTTGTAACAATCATAGATGATCATACACGGGTCACCTGGTTTTTTTTATCAAGAAAAAATCAGAAGTAAAAAATGTGTTTAGAAATTTTTATGCAACGGTCCAAACTTAATTCAATACCAATATTAAAATGGTACAAAGTGATAATGACCGTGAATGTTTTTCTCAAAACATAAACAATTGTTTTGCTGAAAAAGGAATAAGTCATCAAAATTCTTGCATAAATACACATGCTCAAAATGGAACTATTTTTAATCATTACCTCTTATGTTTTGAATACAATGACATTTTTATCACATATTTTTAAACAGAAACTATTATTTTTATTGGATATCTTATCAGGAAAACTTATATATCATTATATTCACTAAATGTTTTTGAAAATTAAAATCGTTCTTTTATACTCTCTCTGTCCCTTAAAACTTTGCCAACTTTGAATTTTTTAGTCATCAAATTCAACTTTGACCAATTATATGTTTTTATATGAAGTTATTTATAATATGATTTTTTTAAAAAGTACTTTCGTAAAAGTACATAATCTATAACTTCCTAAATGTTATACTATTCAAAATAAGGGTCTAAACTTTATCACCATTGACTTGAAATGTCAAAGATGACAAAGTTTTAAATGACGGAGGTAGTGTGTTTTTTAGATTAAAATAACTATTATCATAAAAAGAAACTTAAAATTGTAGAATAAAATTATATTGTGCATATGAATAAATATGTGCGAATATGAAATAAAATTACATGATTGAATTACTTTTTTAAGAAAAGTTATACGGACTATATTAGAATTGAACTAATATTTCTCGCATATTATTGGTCACCCGTGCATCACGCGGGGTTGAAATATACTCCCTTCGTCCCTTAAAATTTAGTCGACTTTCATTTTTTTGTTGTCTCATTAACTTTGTCACTTTACCTTTTAAGTAAAGAATTTGTAGTTCCCGTTAATTCTCCCTGCTCTGCACAAATCTCAACCACACAATTTTTACTTTATTAATTCTCGTGGTGGTTGAACTTGGCCAAGTTTTGAGGGACGAAGGGAATAGTATTAGTGTATAAATTGAATGGAATATGAAATATATAAAAACATTTCAAAATATGCGTATTTTCGTAGAACAAAATATACAAAATATTTATAAATATCAAATGAAACTTTTCAATATATGTGGTTTTCTAGAAACAATTCGATAAAGATTTCAATATTACAAAATATTTCAAATATGTGTGTTCTTTTAAAATAGGATGATTATATTCTTTGAAGTTTATTTGAAAAATGAAGCACCATAATATGTGTAAATTTAGGATTTAATTGCAATTGATGACTATCCACTAATTGGACTCAATAGCAATTAATTGAGAATTCAATTTCAATTAAAGGTTGTAGTTTATTACTATCCTCCGTTTTGTTTTAATCGCAACATGTTAAATTTTACACTATTCACATGCTCTACTTTGACTACATTTTACGCTATTATTTTATGATTTTTTTTAAAAAAAATTGTTCAATTCATCTCATTACAAATTTTTAAAATCTGATTTTTGATATTTTTTACTAATAGAATTAAGATATAATTACGGTCAATGACGTGCGTTGGCAAATGTGAAATGTTGACCGTTGTAACTAAAAAAAGAACGGATGGAGTATTAAGTAAGTAGATAGTGATGAAATAGTTACCTCACACTTTACAAGGGAAGGCTGAATGACACGCTCAGCAACTGAGGCATAAGCTGCCTCCGTTTCATTGGTGGATGAATTTTCTTCCACCATTCTTTTCTTTGTACCAGAATGAATATCATCCTGAAATTGTGGTCGCTCTACTGTGATCTCATAACTAGATTCTGCATCTATAAAACTATTGCTTGACTCTTTGCTAACATGTTGTGGCACATTATAACTCAACAGATCTTGTTTGACAGGAATTATGTCCGAAAGGAAAACGCAGTCGGGCAGTAAAGCCGGCTTAGTGAACCATAATCCAGAACCATCATCACGAGTGTAAATTAGAGGAGGGGCATGCCACTCCTGGCGGTCAACTGTTACTAACACAGACTGCATTACAGGATATCATCAAAGTCAGACAATATGATGTAGAGGCTTAGTTCTCCTTCCCCGAAGATTATCCCATTTTATTTTTTCGGTCCGTCCCACAGAGATTGTCTCGTACCAAATTTGGTAAAGTTTGTATGACTCTAAATCATTCTTACTTTATTCTTACTTTATCAATTCAATATCAACCACATAAACCGAGTAAAATGCATAAACAGTACCGTAACTATCGTTAATGTTGCACTTTAGTACCTTAACTTTTTAATGAAGCAAATCAGTACCTCAACTACGTTTAAATGTTGCAACCGGCGGTACCATCAGTGGCGGATCTACGATATAAGGAGGGTAAGCACCGACTTCACCTCAAACGGTTTCACTAGCGTATGTGGTAGTAGCAAAACAATTAGATGCTCCATTAGACTTCAGGTCAATGGTTTGAATCCAACTGAGGCTATACCCAATTTTAAAAAAAAAATCTGGCATTTTTAGCATATGGGCCGTGCTATGATACGTAGTACATCCCATTTACACCCAATTGAAAATCCCTAGACCAGTAGACCCTATTTCCTTTCTTATTCAAAAATCAAAACATGTCCTTTAGACCTTAGCGTACGTATTTTCAGGAAAAATCAAAATCTCCCCTTCTATCAAAATCAAAATCCCAAGAGGTACGTATCTTCGTCCAAAAGGTTGAATCCCCAACCCCAAGGGTCTCCCCACCCCGACCCGACAGGATGGTGGGGGAGTAAATCACGGTGACTCAGTCGGCAAAGTGACAGTAGGCCTTTACCCGTGCGCACCAGAGGGCCAGCCTTATTTCAGGTTCTGAAAACCCCCTTTTGGTCGCTGCGGGATTCGAACCTTGGTCTACGTCCAATTTTTCCCACCGCTCGACCAACTGAGCTACCCGTGCGGGTCAAGAGGTACGTATCTTCTCAGCGGGGAATGGCGATTGAAAATTTGAACTCCTTAGTTCTATTTGAGTTTTTTTTTTTCTCTAGCATTAAAGCTTTAGTACTTAGTAGATATTAATCATTGTTATAATTCATTTAATGTTCGAAATTATTATTGTTATTAACAATGAAACAATCAATCTATTTATTTAAATATGTATTATCTAATTTATCTGTGGATGAAGTTGCATAGCAGTAGAGGACCGGAGCTGGAAATCTGGAATTCACAATCACTCAACTTCTCATGGTTTTATTCATCTTTTTTTTCCTTAAATTATTAAAGCCTAATTAATATTATTGTTAATATTGTATTTTTTAATCTCTAGTACTTAAACGTACTTCACATTTAAACAACTAGTAATGTAGTTTTACTTTTGTATGTTATTAATCTTATATTTGTAACTTGGGGGAAATAACAATAACCAATTTTGAATTTATATTTTTTTTTTCGTTTTTCGGTTAGTATATTATAATATTAATATTGACATATTCTAGTGTTCATATTTATAATCATATTTTGATTTATACATTTTCTGTGGATACAATGTCCATGTATAATGTTGTTACGGTTACAAGAGCAAGTCATGATGTAATTCATAATGAAGCTAGCGAGTCTCATGCTTTTAAACAACCTTGGATTGAGGTCAATTTAGATGATTTGCCCACATAGCTTGGATTCCGTCCAAAAATTTGTAGTTATCATCCGAGCACACCCAACTATAAAAGGTACCTTTTCTTTTACTATATATATTTTATTTAGCCTTTTTTAATTCATGTAATATACTATTTCCTCCGTCCCAAAATGACAGTCCTGTATTTCTTTTTTTGGATGTCCCAAAATGATGTTCATGTTTCCCTTTTTGGAAAAAAAGATGTGGTCCATATCATTTCACTTTATTATACTCAAATCTTAACCACAACTTTTACCTTTTCACCAATTTTATTAAAACTTGTACGATTGTGCCCAAAAGAAATGAGACTATCAAATTAGATGATTTGCCCACATAGCTCCGATTCCTAGATCCACCACTGGATATACCATTCAATATTCTGGCCCAAAAATGTCACATGTTCGCCGGAAATCCACATGTGTATTCTAGCATCATTTTTATCCACATCATTATTGTCCACGTCATTTGTAATGACAAAGCTGTCAAAAATTTAAATATGCCCCAAAAGCTTCGGTTGGGAATCGAAACCAGCATCTGTAACGTAAATATGCCCCAAAATGCCAGCTCCATCAAACAGCAATACTCAAGTGTTAATCTAGAGAAAAGAAGCGTATAAATATTACTCGTATTGATCTGCTACATCAAAATAAAAAGTGCCTCAGGTTTCAATGTTGTTACTTTTCAAAGTTTTATTTATTTTGGATTTTTTAGTAGAGACTTTTTTTGGTGTTCTAATTGTTTTTATATGTTTTAAAAAAATATCAAAATTCATTCTACCTCCATCCCGAAAAAAATCGCCATATTCACATTTTTTTATCAATGATGACAAACTTTAAATAATAATTTGGGAAAAATGAAAATTAATAATCAACCTTTTAGCGGTCATCATTCGTTGGTCTCACATTATCGTTATTCATGAATTATCCAACCTTTGCACCTAGTCTTCGTTCGTTGGTCCCACATGTCATTTTTCTTTTTAGGTGGAACTGTTTGGAGAAGATTTGCGAAAGGTCAGATTTATGGTTGAATGATTTGTAAAGAAAATGAAAAAATCGGAAATAGCAGGTCATCAACCGGTCAGGGACCAACGAATGAAAATGAGGTGCAAATGTTGGATTATTCATGAATAACGATAAAGTGGGACCAACGAATGAAGGCCGCTAAAAGGTTGGATTATTAATTTCCATTTTCCCTAATAATTTTCATTTATAAATTTATAAATAACTTATAAAAAAATTAAAAATCTATAATTTATAAATTTTATTTTTTTATGAAAATATTTTGAATAAAGAACATTTTGATATAATTTTCATATTCAAAATCATTCGTAGTAAAAAAAATATCATTAGTCAAAGCTCATTGCCATTGAGCAAAAAATCAATTTGGCAAACCTTTTCAGGATGGAAGTAATAATTTTTTATAATCTTTAATGTGACACCAAAATTACATATATAAAGTACTCCCTCCGTTCCTATTATAACTTCCAACTTTCCTTTTTCGTCCGTTCCAATTAAAACTTCCACTTTTCCTTTTTGGTAAAGAATTTGTGGTTCACAACATTTCTTACACATTTTTTTCTTCGCTGCACAACTCTTCACCACACAACATTTGTACGTGTGTCAAACCTATTTGGAAGTTATAATAGGAACGCAGGTAGTAAAAAAAGTCTGGAATTTCAATTGTTTGAATTTTAGACTAAAAACGTGAAATATAATTTTTATCAAAAATATATAAACATATATAATATGGTGTGAAAAATATACTCCGTATAATATACTACAGATTTATGGTGTAAAAGATACTTTGGAATACTCCGTATAATATATTTGAGGTAATAAATTTGTCAAAAACTATGTACGGTAAATGTATGATATTAATACATTTCCTTTCTCTAGTGTATCAATTAAGTATTGTCGTTGGATGTTTGTGGTGTCGGAAGTACGATTCCCAGCCAATGTTTTTTGTGCATATTTTAATTTTTTACAGCTTTGTCATCACGGAATGACGTGGATAATAATGATGTGGATAAAAACGATGACTAGAATACACACGTGGATTTCTGGTGGACATGTGGCATTTTTTGGCCGGAATGTTGAATGGTATCAACATTTAAACATAGTTGAGGTACTTATTTGTAAGAATGAATTAGAGTCACACAAATGTTAACAAATATGGTATGTGACAATAATAAAGGGACAATCTAAAAATGAAAAAAATTAAAAAATTGGATAATTATAGGGGGACAGAGACACAGTATTACTTAGCCGGATCTAAATGGCCCCAAAGGTACCTGCATCCGGTGACGGTTTTCGTTTCTGATGTACTCAAGTGGTACTCTTGAGCCCCTAGTCAAGTTAGAAAGGACATGTATCAACTCTTCAAGATTTGAAATAACTTTGTCTCCGAATTTGGTTATGATAGCATGGTTAGGAACACCAGCTCTATAGAGCATATATCTGCAATTACAATTAGAGCAAACTAGCATAACGTAAAGGACCCACAAATGTCAATTTTTTTACATTGTTAGTTAATAAAAGTCATGAATTAATTAAGTTTCGAGGAACATCAACGTCATATAAAAAATAAAATGATGAAAGGTGAAGACATACCCTGGGTGTGCCACATAGACAAGCCCACATTGAAAATGGAAATTTCTAGCCTGCATTAAGGAAAGGGGAAAAGATTAAAAAAATCACCATGGGGATTAACATATACTACCTCCGTTCTTCAATAAATGCAACACTTTGACTTTTACACTATTCACATGTTCTACTTTGACTACGTTTTATTTATTAATGTAATAATATTATTTTATGAAAAAAATATTGTTAAACTTGTCTCATTGTAAATTTTCATAATCTATTTTTTTTTAATTTTTTTACTAATACAAAATCATTTATATTAAGGGTCAAAGTTGTGTCTCGGCAAGTGTGAATTGTTGAGCGTTGCATTTATTTAAGATGCTTTAACTTTTAGCCTTCATTTGAAATTTGGTAGTTATCTTCAAGTCTTGAAGATAACTGCGCAGTTAAAAGTTGCTTTAAAATTTGGTAGTTATCTTCAAGACTTCATTTGAATGTGCAAAACCCGAAGAATGAAGAACCCCACAGCAGATTAGAGCTACAAAATGGTTTTAACTTGTAAGAGCTGATAAATATTAAAAACCTGTTGATATGAAAGGGGGTGTATCACTGCACCACTAACTTCCAAGAAGCGGTCAGGAGTTATTGAGTGCAAATTCTGGACCTAAAATTAATCAAGTGAGTCAGTTAATCCCTCATTCTAGACTAGCATACCACAATAAGTATTACTGATAATTACATATGGATTACACAAAGGAATTACGCAGAACTGTCCAAAAATATGCATTTTCTATTGTATATTGCATGGATTAGCAAATGACTGCAATAAAAGCTTGGTGGTTACCATGCAGAATCACAAACTCACCAATAAGTCAACAGTTAATGAGGCACCACATCTTTCAATTTTAAGTTCAACATTCTTTCCAACCATGTCATCAAGTATACTTTCCAACTCAAGGAAATGCGTAGTCACCTGCATAAGATGTTCCTTAGAAAATGATATTGTTACAAAAATCATAAAATATCTTGGCCAGAACATGAATATAAATCACAACAACGATCTTTGTGAAACGCAGCTTGAAATTTGAAACTAATAGAACAATAATTTACAGAGAGTTGAAAAGGATTCTTAATTATCGTCATGCACTATGGTTTGATGGACTATTGAGTAGTGTCAAAATTTCAGCACAAAATATTTGGAATAGCTCAAAATGTTCTTTCATTTAGAATAACCACGTGTATAGAGAATAGTCATCTATAAAAATATCAAGATAATGGAAGCCTAAGGCAGATTTCCATTATATGAACCCAAACATAAGTTTGAACTTTGAACCAAATCAAAGGGTGATATATCCCTATTAATGACTCTTCGTACGTACGATTGATAGATTGTTTTACAAGATGACACCAGGGACAATCTTGGGACCACTCTTTGAAGTTTTGAGAGAACTGGATCCCCTAAGAAGTTATGCAAGATATGTGTTGACTCAGAATACATACAACTGACACGACAAACTGGATCAGGATGGAGATCGATAATGGCTAGAGGTCCTAAGACTTAAACTCAATTCCAATCACCTTTCCTCCTACAACAGTCCTACACAACAAAAGGATCAACTGCAAATGTTACAGATTGAGAAATTAACTTTGCTGATAGACACAAATTTAAATGGACTATTTAGAACATATAAGAGATCTTCCAAGGGTAAGGATAGCTCAGGAAGAGCTTGATCTATGCTTATGGTTGGGTTTGATGTCCACTGGCAAGCAAAGAATGAATGTGGTAAATCCCGAAGTTTAGTCAAATTAGATAAAAGTTATGAACTACCAGAGATGTGACCGGAAGTGCTTGATTCAAGATCCTCAAACTAGAAGTGCAAAACAAAGGCTGTAGACACACCACACAATTCTGGAGAGAAGTGATGCTTGGGACTTTTGGCATTCTTCAAATTTGGTTGGTAAAAGCACAACCAGATATAGCGGAAATTTGAATGAGTTTTTAACAGGAGGCTTTTTTGTGGAATAATACCATAAATGAAACGTGGTACTGAAAATTCAATGACAACACAAGAACGTGGCATGATCAGCGGCGGGAGCTGTGACACCAAATTCGAGGGTCACAATGATTGGTGGAGAAAGGGATAGATGTAACAAAAAACCTGAAGCTTGGTGCAGTAGTCTTCCGTAGTACATAAATGATGCAACAATGGTCATATTCTTTACCGGTGGGATGCAAAGCTAAATGTAACAAAATCATATAGATACGCCGGAAGTGAGAGTAAAGAAACACTTTATTCTTATGTATCAAAAGGAGGTATATACTACAACTAAAGTTAACATACCGGGTAAATCCCAATACATAATTCATATGTTCGACAAGTTAAATGTGAATACAGACCTTCTCTTGCATACAAACAAGCACATCACCTGGCTTTAATAAATTACAAGCTTGGGCACACGGCACCTGGAACAAACCAAGATCTCTAAGAAAGGAGTATACAGGAAATTAGATATATCCTACAAAAGCACTAAGATGACATACCACAGAATCAACAACAAGCATTCCAGTTTCACCTCGACGAGAAGAACGTCGTGCCAACTAATTTGTAAGAGACACATTATTAGAGTTTTTACTATATTTAATTATTTGAGATGCATAAAACCATCAGTTACATATACCCGTTCTGTTTCACTTTGAACACCAAGACGACGGGTCTCGTCAAATCCTTTATGGACAAATGTAACCTATACAAAAAAAAATCCAACCATGAATTTTACCATTACGAAACAGGGGGAAAAGTGCAAGAAATAAAGCGTTTCATTGAAAGGGAAAAGGAATGGAATGCAGATGCTAGTGCCCTTTGAAGTAAAAAAACTATGAAAGAAAGTAGGTTTTTTCTGATGTCCTAAGTATGAATTTCATTTAGTATGTTATAAACAAAAACAATGAAGAACATCAATGACTTATTAACTTCCAGTATTGTTAATGGTGATGTATAATTGTAAAGAAAATGTGACTTATTAACTTCCAACGTTGATAATAAAGATGTAAACACGACATTCCATCTATCTAATATCCTGAAACAATGTGAACAATGACTAATTAATATGAAGTATTGCATATGAAAATGAAGTCAATGTCCCAGGAATAAAATTGTTTCAACTCTGAGAAAGAATTTTTTTTACTGTCATGAAGTCAATGAAGTCAATTAATCATACGTTAGCAACAATGCTTCATACAAAACCTTACAAGGATAAAACTTTACATACCTGAAGCGTGCCACGAGGAATAGATACTACCCCCCATTTGTTGGTAGAATCTCTTCCTAATTGTAAGAAAACTAACGCTCTCACAACCTAATCCAAATGAAAATCATACTGATTGAGCACTTTCAAGAAATCTAGTTAAAAATCAAATCTTGTACTTTCAAGGGGAAAAATGGATTGAGTTTGAATCCATTGTATGCCATCCGAAAATTGAAGTGCAAATTAAGAGTGTATTTTAATCAGTCCTTAGTGCTAATAGATACAAAATTTTGTACCAAATGCAATCATAAAACTACAATATTTGTGTTTAACTCGCTATATCTTTCAATAAATACTAGAGTATTATCTTACTCGCTCTAATGGAAGGAAAAAAGCAGAGGCACTTGATGTCTTGCCCCCTGCATTCAAAGCAACCGCTCTGCCCTGCGAGTCAATTACCGGAGAGCCACTTGAACCACCCTTAGTCCCAGATGCAGCCTGTGGTGTAAGTAACAGAAGAGATGATTAGGTGATAAAGCTTAGAGCCCAAGAAAAGGTTATAAGATTGCCAAGCTTACTTGTATGTAGAATGTATTGAAGTCATTGTAGCCATCACTGCACCCAAAACACAAATCATCATAAAAATGCAAGCTTTGTGGAAATCTTACTACATATGATCATAGATAAAAATAAAACAGGCCATTTCAAGCTTGCTTCCTAATCACACACATCTAATCAATAATACACCATATTAAATATTTCTAAAGCTCAAGCATAAGCTACAAAAATCATTTAAATCCATGTTCAATCTTAATGTTTGCTCGTAATTATCAATGAGGCTAAACCAAATTCGAGTAATACCCATTACCCAGCCCACAGGCTTGCACAATATGCTACTGAGGCGTAAGCGAAGAAGCACGGAAACCATGCAAGCTTCCTTTAATTAGCGATTTCAAAAACTTGAAAAAGCAATGGAAACTTTAAAATTGAAGAAAAATCCAAAATAATAATCTCAACTGTAGGTTCACTGTTATTAATATTATCCATAGATTATTTGAGTGCGGTCCCAACTTTAAGGATCATTTTTCAAAATTAGTCTCTAACCGACTACGATCATTTTTAAACATGTAAAACTAATTACGAAAATTCTACGTACCGAAATTAAGTAAAAAAAATGTATTTGGTTTTTATTTTCAATAAAATTTTATTTTTTCTATTTTCCCGAGTTGTATTACCAATATCTGAGTCATTATTATTTTCCTTTATTTGAGTTTACATTTTCTGTTCTCAAAAAGTAATTTGTGATTAAAAAAAATAGAACTTAGAGCTTTGTTGTAGCTTTTTTCATAAAAATATATTTAATTTAATTTTTATGATATCTTAATTCTAAAAATCTACATTTTCTTTTTTTCCCATTTTACTAATTTTAATTTTTTTATTTTCTCTTTTTATACTTCTTCCGGTCCATTGGGCTTTGTCAACTTTCCTTTTTTTGGTTGTCCCAAAAACTTAGCCACTTTCTTATTAAAGCAACTACTTTGTGGTTATGCACATTTCTCTCTCATCTACACAAACCTCAATCAGACAACTTTTATTTTCCTTGTTTCTCACATACTTCAAACTTGACAAAGTCCACCGGAAGGGGGGTGTACTATTATTATATTCTATAAATTATACTCCATTCGTCCCTTATAAATTTGTTAACTTTCCTTTTTTGAATGTCCCACTAACTTTGCCACTTTCCATTTTAAATAAATAATTTGTGGTTCTAGTTCATTATCTCTCCTCTTCACAAACCTCAATCACACAGTTTTTACTTTATTATTCTCCGTGTCGGTCAAACGTGATGGAGGGGGTATGATATAGTTGGGAAAGGGGGCAAATAAGCCCACGTACTAACAAAAAAAGATCAAATAAGACCCTATATAGGAGACTCTGTCCGGCCGTCGCCATTTGGGGTAGTTCCCGGTAGGATTTTTTGATGAAAGTTTTTGAGAATTTTATTCATTAAGTCTAGTTTAGTCATACCAAATTTCAGCTAACAATTCAATTGGGAAGACATTCAAATAAATTCTTGAAGATAACTGCGCAGTTATTTTCAAGAAATCATTTGAATTTCTTCCCGATTGAAGTTTTAGCTCAAATTTGGTATGAGTAAACCAGACTTAATGAATAATATTCTCAAAAAATTGCATCAAAAAGTTTCACCGGGAACCGGCCCAAATGACGACGGCCGGACATAGACTCCTATATAAGGGCTTATTTGACCTTTTTTGTTAGTACGTGGGCTTATTTGACCTTTTTCTCGATATAGTTTATTGTTTAATTTTAGTGATTTGAAGTATAGGTTTTGGTTATTTTGAATGAAAATTTATAGGTATTATAATTTCAAGTCATATATTGGAAGTTGAAAAAAATATGTAGAAATAGTGTGGTTAGTTTGAAATGATGATGGAAAAATGTTTACCAAAATGTTCACCAAAATTTCACACCTTTTCTATATTAGATAGGAAGGAGGTTAGGGGATACTAGAAAACAGAAAGCTTCAAATTAAAAGAGATGATTTAGGTACGTACGACTCGTAATTTGGAGCATCTCTATCTAAACGAGCAAGAGTGCCGGCCAAAATAGATACCTGAAAATTAATCCACAAATACAATTATATATATATATTACTCCTGTGTGAATTTCACTCACAATGATAAATACTATGTGGTTCTATTCTTCAAGCACTTCTACAATTTTTTTACAGTTTCGAGCACTTTTATAGTTGTACATAGATATATTACTCCTGTGTGAATTTCACTCACAATGATAAATACTTCGTATTTTTGTTATATTAATTGTATTGTATGTAATTATGCATTAAGCTTCAAAAAGCAGCATGTAATATTGAAATGTTCAAAGTATAAGTTTGGATGTATTTTCCATTTATACAATACATGTTAAATGCATGTATTGTATACGGAGTATTTTATTGTAGGTATTGGCTATTAAACTGGGTTCTATTCGTCCATTTGTATTTACTATTTGGTATCTTCCGACGGAAATAACCGTTGCTATAAGTATTTTATTGATATAATTATTGAGAAGATAGCGCCGGTTGTTTCCGTTGCTAATAGGGACGGTTTATTCCGTCAGAAATCCGTTGCTGTTTAAAAAACCGTAGCAAATATCCGTCAACAACTTTTCCAACCACATTTCGACGGAATTTTCCGTAGCAGTTCCGTCCCTGATTTTCTTTCCGACGGATAAATATAATTTTCCTGTAACTATTTGCGTCGCTGATTCAATGTTTTTTTTGTAGTGAAGCAAACAAAATATCCTTCCTTTCTATTTAATTTTTTCTTCATCTTTCTTCTCCATTTTTTCAATTTTGTGTTATATATGAAATATGAGTTTGATATTGATTCATGTGTATTAGATATTGGTGGTTGTGTGTTAGATACATGTTTTTGTGTGATGGCTACTTAGCTTGTTGTAACTTTTATGTACATACTATGTGCTAGATATAGGTTCTTGGGCGTGTACACGCATTTTGAGTGAGATATATTGATTCTTGTGTGTTAGTTATTAGTTGAAATTGTATGAAGTTTTTAATTATGTGTTATATGTTAATTTTTAATTGTTTTTGTGAGATACTTATTTTTGTTTGCTCAAGATATAGGAACTAGGGGTATTATGATTTTGTTGAGTAAAATAAGTGGGTAATTTTTACCTAAAATGGAAAAGGTTGCATGCTTTAGACCTTTAGTGGTTAATTTTTACCTAAAAGATCAATTGAATTAAATCTATACAAAATTCTCAGTGGCAGCTAATAATCAAAACATAAACATGTCAAACTATACAATGAAAAACAAAAGGGCAAATGTCCCATATCCAGGTATAAAAAATGGTCTCAATTTTCATGACCAAATAGTACTATATTGAAGTGACACACATGAGTAAAAGAATTATCCTTACCTAGCTTTTAAACATCACTACTTTTAGTTTCAGGATATGATTGTTGTATACTCCATATGTAATCAATAAAAGTTTTAGAGGACCGAAAGACTTAACCAAGATATTTCAAGATTATGTTAATATATACACTAAATGCATTTTTGGTGGGCATAAATCTCTGCCTTCTAGCTTTTGTAGTATTTAAAAAATCACTAAAAGCTTCTGGTTATATGTTTGGCATGACAAATTTTAAGAGCTTTTCAAAAAATAAAAAATCTTTTTTGAAATGCTACAAGGAGTAGCATCCGAGAAAAGTTTTTTTTATCCCGGAGCAAACCACACGGGGTGGGGGAGTGCCGGAGAACACTTCCCTATTTTATTAAATAAAGTTTGAACTTACAAGAGAAAATTATGAAAACAAACTAAACAAGTACTAAAAATTTTAACAATTGAAATTTTGTGTAGGAATCCCCATAGCAGCCGAGATAGACCTATTGATTTTTTTGTGAAAAATGATCGCCTTTTGTGTAGGGATCCCCATAGCATTCGAGAAAAGTCTGTGGCTTTTAGTATTAATTAGTCTTAATAGCTTGTATACCAAACAACTATCACTTTTTTATTTTAAGATCTTTTCAGTCACTAAAAGCTAACAGTTACTAAAAAGCTTACAGAAGTAATTTTTCAGCTACTTGTGCCAAACATACCCTAAAGTAAAAAATAACTTTTAATTGCATAAAGACCCATGTTGTATATACAATAAGGAATACTTCCTCCGTCCCTTATAACTTTGCTAACTTTTATTTTTTGGATGTCCCACTTGTAACACCCCCGCCCCGCAGGCCCCGAAGTATTTACTTCTGGCTTCTAGTAATGTCCTCACAAACCACCTCGTGCGCGCCCTGAGAAACTTCACATAGGGTCACCCATCCCAAGACTACTCACATGCAAGCATGCTTAACTTTGGAGTTCTTGGCTGATGAGCTCCCTTAAAAGGAGATGCACCTCTGTTGGTATGAGTGATACTATTAATCCTCTTAAATTAATCTCGGGTATTACAATCACCCCGACTTAGGATCGCAACGTCCTCGTTGCGCCCTTAACAATCCTAATCAAACCCCAGAATCTTGCCTCGCTAAGTGCCAGCCCGATATCCAACGGGTCAACACACTATCGCATGGTTGCTCTGATACCACATGTAATACCCCTGCCCTGCAGGCCCTGAGGCAGTTACTTCTGACCTCTAGTACTGTCCTCACAAATCACCACGAGCCTTTACCGCGCACTTTGTCCTCACTCGTGAGCGCCCTAAGAAACTTCCCAGGAAGTCACCCATCTCAAGACTACTCCCATCCAAGCACGTTGAACTTTAGAGTTCTTGGCTAATGAGCTCCCTTAAATGGAGATGCACCTCTGTTGGTATGAGTAGTACTACTAATCCTCTTAAATTAATCTCGGGTATTACACCACTAACTTTGCCATTTTCCCTTTTAAGTAAAGAATTGTGGTTACGGTTCATTCTCTCTCCTCTACACAAACCTCAACCACAAAGTTTTTACTTTATTATTCCCGTGCCGGTCAAACTTGGCAAAGTTATAATTAGCCAAACGGCATTTCAGCCGTTACACTAGCCGATTCTTACCATATTTCTTGTATATTGTATTTGGTTCAATTAGTGGCTAGATTCATTTAGGTAATTATGGATAGTATATTCTTTGCATTATGTTAGCCTTTTCCATGCATCTCCAGCCGTTTAGTTTAGGAGAATACTCCATGTATTTATAGTAGATTATTTCTCAATGAAAGAAAGGATTTCACATTCCAATTTGGTATCAGCAGCTCTCTTCTTCCGGCCATGGCTTCCTCCTCCAAATTTCACCCCGCCTTGGCCGTCTCCAATATTAAAAACTTCATCCCCATAACCCTCGATCTTGAAACCGTGGAATATTCTTCATGGGCGGAACTCTTCCGTATTACCGCCCGGGCCTATCAAGTCCTCGACCACCTACTGCCCGCCGCTCTTGCGACCGACTCCCCTTCTCACACCGCTACTACACTCGAACAACGGCTGGAACTTGAAGCTGCCGCCGCCGAAGCTAAGGCCCTTTGGGACCGCCTTGATGCCGTCGTCCTACAATGGATATACGGCACAATTTCTCACGACCTCCTCCACACCATCATCGAGCCCGACTCCACGGCTCACATGGCTTGGTCACACCTTGTGGACATCTTCCAGGACAACAAACACTCTAGGGCGGTGTACTTGGAAAATCAGTTTTCCAATACCCGTCTTGATCAATTCCCCAACATTGCCTCCTACTGCAAAGCCCTCAAGCTCCTGGCCGATCAACTAAGCAACGCCGGCGCTCCGGTCACCAATAGTCGCCTTGTCCTTCGCCTTGTTAACGGACTGCCGGAACATTTTTACACCGTGGCTTCCCTCATCCAACAAGCCGATCATCTCCCACTTTTCTCCAAGGCCCGGTCCATGTTGTCTCTCGAAGAGGCTCGTAAGAACCAACAAGCCGGTAACCCACTCGCTGCCGCCATGGTGCACACGGACCGTAACCCCCCTCGCTCACCTCCTCGTCCCCAGTCTCTTCACCCCCGCCCGGAACCTCGGCACAACCGCTCTCGGGGCCATGGTGGCCGCCAACGCTCCACCCGTCCTCCATACTCGGCCCCTGCCCCCACCCCACCACCCTGCCCATACCCCTCCAACCCACTGCCACACAAGCAACCCCCCTCTCACCCCTCCCCCGGCATTCTTGGACCACGCCCACAGGCCTAGTACTCTACCACCGGTTCCACCCCCAACCAACATACAAGCTGCCATGCACACCATGACCCTCACTCCGCCGCACAACAATTGGTATATGGACACCGGGGCAACCTCACACATGACATCTTCCTCAGGTACTCTCATTCCTTATTTTAATTTGCGTACGAATAATCGTATCATGGTTGGCAACGGCATGTCCGTCCCCATCATGGGTCACGGCTACACCACACTGCCCAACACCCCCTCCCCTCTTCACTTGCAAAATGTCCTACATGCCCCCCACCTCATTAAAAATCTCATTTCTGTCCGTCAATTTACCACTGATAATAATGTTTCCGTTGCATTTGACCCCTTTGGTTTTTCTGTGAAGGATCTCCACACAGGGACACAAATACTGCGGTGCAATGGTTCCGTCCACCTCTATCCCGTTCGCCCAAGTTCCGGCTCCTATCCTTCTCATGCTTCCGCCCTAATAACTATCCCCGCTGAACTTTGGCACAACCGCCTTGGTCATCCGGGAGATCCCGTTTTTAATTCTCTTAGATTGAATAATGTTATTTCTTGTAATAAACTTCATGCGTCTGTTTGTACTTCATGTCAAATGGGCAAACATGTCAAGTTGCCTTTTTCTCATTCCTTATCTACTACTTCTAAACCATTTGAAATAATACATAGTGATTTATGGATATCCCCTGTACTAAGTCATAGCGGACATCGTTATTATGTATTATTTTTGGATGATTTTTCCAAGTTCTTATGGGTGTACCCTCTACAACATAAATCACAAACTTTCTCCACATTTGTCACATTTTATAACTTTGTTCACACACAATTTGAACAACGTATAAAAATCTTACAATGTGATAACGACACCGAATTTCGTAACCACAATTTTAGTCACTTCGGTGCCACTC